TGCAGTATTTTGTTGTAAAATGATGCATATATTTACAGTATAGTTCTATAAACCCTTTATTAAAACTTAAAAAATTGTATCATATCATGTAATAACAAAAGATAGTATATCTTGAAGAGGATATTGAGTATAATGTCAGTATAATTAGAATTTGAGTGTGTGATCTTACATTACTTTCATTTGTATAAAACTCATACCCACACTTGATCCCTTTTTGTTAATGCAGGTCACTGGTTTGTTTCAGATGCTTCTGAGCTTCCATCTTTCTATATCTCTTGTTTGAAATATGTATTTGTTTATTTTTTTCCTGACAGGTTTTTGTGAATAGATAAGAAAGGATAATGCTCTAAGTATTTTCTTGTTATTAAATGTAATAGTTTAATAAATTATTTGTTTACATTTTCAGTGTGAAAAAACATTGTTTGCACACCCTGGAGGTGTAACGTGCATCTCTGTCCATCCCACTGGTAAACTAGCACTTTCTGTTGGTAATGACAAGAAACTTTGCACATGGAACCTTATTAAAGGAAGAAGAGCATATGTAACGCATGTTGGAGTTGGTATGTATCATGAAGTTTTATTTTGTAGCTATATATTTCCCTTATTACTCTTATATTTCCTTGAAAATAGATTTATTGTTATTGATATATTATAGGATTTGGTATGTGATTCAGAAGTTATCTCATGTATACATCATTATTGCAAATAAGTGACATGTTTATTTGATTTTTAACATCTATAATTTGCACTCAAATTACTGATTGACAGAGAATCCAGATAAACATTGTTGTGGAAACACTTGTATATTTGTTTGTGAATTTTTATATATTTTTAAAAATTAGAATGTATATCTCATGCACATTTTCTTGATCCCATAGTTTCAGACATTGTACTCTGGAATCCAACTGGGGTGAACTTCCTTGTGGTAAAGGGTAGCTGTATTGATATTTATGAAGTTTCTAGTGGCAAAGTCAAGCAGTCTGTTGACTTTAGGGAAAGAATTCAAGCGCTAGTCTTTATCACAGTGAGTATATTGGCAAAAATTTTGTTATTCATGTATTGTAACTTTGTTTCCTTGAACAGTTTGAGAGAATAATAGAAAAATATGTAACTTCTAATTAAACTACAATGTTAATGAACACTTAGTTTACCTGCTTTGATCATAATAACTTTGTATCTCAATTGCAGGAAGACATTGTTGCAGTTGGTGGTGAAGGAAAGAATATTTGTTTGTATGATATTACAAACCAAATAGAAATTGTTCAATGGCCAGCCCACAGTATGAGAATCAAAAGTCTTAAAAAGATTGCCAGAACTGCAGTAGAAGAAGTATGGCTTGTCTCAGCATCCACAGATGGCTTCATAAAAGTGTGGAAACTTGAGGTAACATTACTGTGTATGGTGACAACAAATGTTATGATTATGACAATAGTGGTTTCATTAATTATGTATTTATCATCATCATACTATTGCTGCTATTGTTATTGTTGTTTTGTTATCATCAATATTATCAATAGTAATAGTAGTAGTATGATTATGATTATTATTATTGCATGACTTGTATTTATGGTATTTGCAGTATTTGAATTGTTATTGCTGTTATTCTCATTTTGGCATTAATGATGATAATATCATTATTACCAAAATTACAATTTTATCACTAGTGTATGTTAATGGTGCTGTTGTTGTAATTGTCATGTATTTGCATATTTTTACCTTTCATTCCTTACTAATTGATGTGATTTTTACAGCTGCTGTCACTTCAGAAGAAACCCAGACTTATAGGGAAAGTCGATATCTCATGTCGTATTACCTGCATGGATATTCGTATAAGTCGTCAGAAAGTGACTATCAAGAAGGAAGAGGAAGAGAAAGAGGAAGCTAAAGATGCTAATGATGGAGTAGAAGAGGGAGATGATGTCAAAGAATCACTTGATGAAGATGAGGAGGAGGACGAGGAGGAGATAGAAAAATCAGTTGATGAGGATGAGGATGACGACCTGGATGATGAAGACATTGAAGATGAAGAGGATAAAGAAGAGTTAGAAGGTGAAGTAGAAGGTTTGGAAAAGTTGGAAGATGATTCAGACAGCCAAGAAAGCTACTTAGAAGAAGATGATTTAGAAGATGAAGATTTTGGAGATATGGAAGATGTCAAAAAGGAGGAGAGTGATGTAAAGGATGTAGAAAGTTCAGAAGAAGAGGTAGAAGATATTATTATTGGAAAGAAGGGGAATTCTGCTAATGGAAAGGAAAAAACTACAGTCAAACAGAAAGGAAAGAATGGCAATATCCAAGGGAAAAAAGCACAAAAGAGGAAAAAGAAAGGTAAAGGAAAACCACAGCCCAATAAGACCAATATACCTGGTCAGAAAGCAAAGAAAATGAAAATGAAATAGCAGTGTTTTTTTTTTTTAATATATGTGAAATGTACAAATTGCCTTTTATTTGTCCAGCTATTTTCTATTAATTGTTTCTAATACATAAACAGTAAAATAATGTATGTTCTCAAAGACAAAGTAAAGGTAAATTAATTGAAAGTATATTGAAGTCTAAATTATTGTAGAGAAAAAGTAGTTTTGTATATCAATATACAAATTGTAGTCGCAAAGAAAAAGTAAAGACAGGCAGAGGATAGTGGGAAAGATTCTTTGGTGTTCTATATTTGTATGATTATGAAAATCTGAAGAATATAAAAAAAAAATGTTTTTAGTACAGTACTTAGAAGTTTGCTACCATAATTTTATCCTGGTAACAAAGTATAAGGTGATAGTACCATAGCATGACTGTAATAATATTTGTTATATTACATTAAAAAATTGTTGTTGAATCTTTTTTATTATGTAAACTTGTTTTCTCTGTTAGGAAATATTTTGTGAAGGAAATGTTGTTAAAATTGTTCCTTCTGCCATTTAAACAGTAGAGTTTATGTATGGCATGTATGACCCAGTGTCCTGGAGTTGTTTATGGAATAATGACAACTACTTAAGGCTCGTATGACATTTTGACGGGCATGTTTCAAGTAAAACTTAGGCTGATGATACTGGGGATGGCATATTCATACATGCCATGTCCACTGCGAGTGTAGTTTTTTAATTGTTGTAACACATAATTTGCTTCACAAGAACTTAGTCACTAAGGAGTTAGTTACTAGTACTACCTTTCTTGATTGTTTAACCTTTTCCATGACTTTTTAAATATCCTAATGGTCTCCCTTTTGTTGCCCAGTACCCCTTCTACTGTATGTTTTTTTCCATAACACATGTTGCCTAAAAGGTGGACTTTATGGACCCAGTACTTAACCCATCAGCGACGGGTAAAAATTTTGGCAAGTTTACGTATGCACGGGCTTGTTGGCGCGCACTGGCAGTTTCCCGTTTGCGCCCAGCTCGATCGGTAGTTTGCGAGCAACATATAGCACCTAAAAGCTTTTATTTTGCTAAAATTTATAAGAATATTAAAATTTTGAAGGTTTACCTTCACTTTAGGTGCCATTGCCTAAAATCTTTACCATATAAATGAAGCCGCTAATACTGGAGAAAAACAACCTCCGTCCGACGAGCCAGTAGCGCGGGAATGGGCATGACATGATGCCCCCGGCATTTGGTCCACAATAGCCATGGCATGTACGTATGTGACACCCGGCGCCAATGGGTTAAACTAGAAATTATCAAAATAACTCCACCTTGATTTCAGGGATAGCTAAATGAATAGGGAACAGGTTGAGAAAATGCCAGATAGTGCTAGTTACAGATTTGATATTCTTAATTTTCAAATGTAATTTGTAAAATTTTAAATTACATTTTCCCTTTTTATTATTTTGAACTCCAATTCTGTATAACTTAGTTCAGTTACTTTTCAAACATAGGACAAATGTATTTTATAAGAAAATAATATTGTTATTTTTATATTCACAGCAATAAAGACAGAATTTTATGCATTGGTTCTCCCTTAATAACTGGCCCATATTTAGTTCACTGCAACAACTCTACCATCATAACTAGTCTGATTCCTTAGAATAGTGAAATTACTTTGTGTAGTTAAAGTCCTGGCATGTAGACGAAAAGCTGATTCCTTTTTTTAATATTATTTTTCAAAACTGTCATTATTTTTATTAGATATATATTTTTTTAAACTTAAGAGCAAGAAATATAAACTAATGGGAATGTTGAAAGTATGTTACCATAAGTAATAGGCAAGGATGTCTTTTTTTTTTCTTCTTTTCTTTCCATTCTTTCCCTTGAGATTGATCATTAGTATTGCATTTATTTACCTACTGGTTAACTGGCCAACTTATTAGTTGCTGGTTACCAGGATTCCATCAAAAGTTACCGGGGGAGTGTAATGGAAATTTATGGCTGAGCTGCCTATAGCCCAGAGAGCATTTGATTAGATTTTCTGAAGATCTGGGATTGATGGATACGTACTAGTGAAGAATGCATGTCTTTGGTAGATGAGGGTAAGTTAAGAGCAATTTTGTTATAAAGATAAAGTAGAATGTGAGGTTTATGAATGTTGATGTTAGTACATTCAGTACTCTAGGTAGATTTATCTAATTTTTATGAACTGAAGGTGGGGGTTTGCATTCACTCGGTGCCTTTTAGATCTCCAAGAAGATTCATTTTCAGCCCTTACAACTGGTAAGACTATACAGCAATTAAAGTCTGAACAACAGATTTTTGCCTCCCATTCCAATGTCTCTCATCTTTCAGAGTTCTTGTCCCTGCTTCTCAAGACCACTTTTCACATTAAACTGCTATAAATGGTTGAGAAAAATATCAAAAGAAATATAGAAATACAGCATGTAAAACAAAAAGGACAGGAATATTCAGTCTACGGACTGAACAACTTTCCTAGAGCTATAATATCCAAGTATATAATAATTTCTGCTCAAGCATTTATAAATGCAATAGTCAAGTACAGAGGTACCATGTACTATAATTTCACTATTTGTTTGCAATGATAAAATATGCTGAAAACACAGGGGTTAAAACACTGAATAAAAAGTATATTTATTGCCTACTGACTAGAACCCTAGGATTTCTTTTTCCTAGGGGAAAATTTCCCCAAAATGTCTTCTCTCCGGAATGCACAGTAATCTATTGTACTACTCTGTAATGTCCTGATATGTAAACAGTGGACTCCTAGTTCAAAATAATTTATGTGAACAGATCTTGGCAAGAACTGAAACAATCTCTGTGATTAAATATTGAAGCTGAAATTACAACATACTCCTTTACACAGGCCTCTTCTAATGTTAAAAAACAAACAAACATATAACACTAAATACAATGTCTTGACTATTTCTATATAAAAGAAATATTGTTAAATGGGTTATCACACTGGGATAAATCACATGGGCTTCCGCTGTAGTTTATACAACAAATACTGATGATGTTGCCTGGCTCACTGCTCTTGCAGTAGTTCTCTCATTAGCATAGAAGGGGAGCCACAGAGCTGGCAAGCAGAGAAAAGGCTTGAAATTTATTTAGAATTAGACAAAGAACTGGTTCTATGAGAAACTTAACTGGAGCTTTTTCAGTTATTTGTCAATATTTTCCAATTTAACATGCTCTACCTTGTTATATTTTATTATTATATATATATATATATATATATATATATATATATATATATATATATATATATATATATTTAGATATATACATATATATTATATATATGTATAAAAATACAAAAATCAATGTAACATTCTGAGAATATTCAGGTTCAAGAGCTTTAATCTTCCCCCATAAACAGTAATTATTACAAATTGTAAAACAATTTACACATCATTTCTGTAATTGTAGGAAATGGCTTTATCTCTGTGTGATAACACCTTGATATTTTCAATAAAATCTAACATCCTGCTAGGTTGGCCATCATCAGTTTAAAGAGAAAAAACTAAAAAATAACATAACTGTGAATTACAATATGTAATTTCATACAAACAAGAAATGGTAGTTGTGAGTAATACAAAACTGAAAACTAAATATTAGTTTCCAGTATTATTACCACATAATAAATTAATAAATTAACCCTTTTAGATAACTTTAGCTGACCAACCATGCTACAGTTGCACTACATATTCCCAAATGTGACTCTACTAATTTTTAGTCATTAACTTGACTAATTATATATCTGAAGATATAACACACATCTCCATTATAGCAAAGGTCAAGATTAAGAATCAAACAATTTTTTTTAAGATACAATATCAACAAATATAATGATTAAATATCTCAAGGCATGAATAACCATTAATGTAATACAACACCATAATTCTCTTCTTCAGAAACATCATAATGTAATATTAAAAGACAACAAAAATTTTAAAAACATTATTTGGCCACTAAGCAAACACATGTAGTTCTCGATTTACGGTAGTTCCATTTCTAAATCTGTACTGTAAAATCAAATAACAATGACAATTACTTCATAGAAGCTGTTTAAATTATTATACACAATAATTAAAGAGAGATGCACTGAGCTCACTTATGTGTTAAAGAAAAGCTTGGTGAGTGAAAGTGCACTAGTTCTGATCTTCAGTCCATATAGTCAGCATTTTCCCATCTTTTCAATCACTGTGCTATTAAGAATAACAAGATGAAGCATGGATTGTTAGCTATGTTGAGTGCTTGGGCAAATTCAATAATTTAACATCGTTTTGTAGTTTGCTTTATATTTTTCTCTTAGTTTTCATAAATACTTAATGTCCTTCTGACAGCCACTTTTGAGGTGGATATTTCATAAGAGAAGCCCAAATGTCAAGAGGGGGTGGGCAATGGCCAAAATAAGTGTTGCATGGGCGGAACTAGTGGGGAGGGAAGGCACAAGACGTGTTCCATGTCCTGAGAAATGCTCACTGACGCACAAAACCTTAGCTAAAAAATAATGTTATTTTGAATAATTTACATGGTAAAGAAAGAGAAGAAAAAAACTGGAGCCATAAAAAAAATCATGCTAGAGCAATATACACCAAATGGGCACTGTAAACCGAGGATTACCTGTATTAACTTCATACCATAAGTTTAGACTGGTATATCAGTTAAGAGTCTTAATTGTAATGTTTATGGTTCCTTATTCATATTCAAAATCCATTGACAATTAATTTTTTGATTAAGGAAAACCATTAACTTCTCAATTAACATTCAATATCTAAATCACACAGAAAAAATAAAATAAAATAAAATAAAATAATAATAATAAAAAATCATAAATATAATAAATATATTTCCTCACTGAGATGTCCTTTTCACACAATTCGAACTTGGTGCTTCAGTCCCCCTTTGATGGCAACTTTTGGGAACTGTGAATTCCACTGATGTATGTATGTAACATGAATTTGTTCACAAAAACTGACATCAAGTAATTCCAAATGTTGGCAGCTCTGCAGTAATCTGGAAAACGTATATAATATAGTGGCCTTGTACAAGGTTTTTCATAAAAATTACTTACTTTATCATATATTCACTTCACTTTTATTAGTGACGATTTCAGGTGAAATAAAGAACATCACACTATATTTCAAAAAATATTCATTGTGGTTTCTTACCTGTGCACAGCTTCTGGAGTAACATTTCTTGTGCCCATGATGTCAAGCTGTGTGAGTCCATGAGAGTGTGTCATCAAGTGATGTAGGTCATGGTCTGTTAGTGTTCTCAATGCAGTAAGATAAATTCGCTTCAGTCCTCGACATCCTCGTACTAACTCACCCAGACCCTCAGTTATAACTCCTGACAACCTGTACATGATAAAAACTTTTTAAATCAAGTTACAATGAATTTTATTTCATGTAAAAATCAATCATGAGCTTGTTTTGTCATTAAAAATATCTAGGGAAAATTAGTGTACACATTAGCCTTGAGAATACCTGATGAATGTCTTCTCTTCATTGTTAATTATGCCATGATGTTTTCACATTTCTATCTTTCATTATTCTCAATCACAATTACTGAATATATCTACACATCCACTTGTTTGTATACATTTTTCTCATCAGGCGAGAAATGAAAGTCACAACAAGATCTCTTGCCCACTTACGCCCAACCCAAGTCAAGATCTTGGAGTGTTGGAATGCAAGCCAAAGCACGAAGACCTCTGGCTGTGAGACCGTGAGTCTTCCATGCACCAAGTGATATCAGGTCACGGCTAAAGGTAGCCAGTGTCAGCGCAACCTCATCCATATCAAGCTGAGTGCAATTATCTGATGGAAGATGATGAAACTACTTGACTATATATTCACTACTCTCAATCACAGATGTATTTATGTCTTTTCAAGCCTATAATTCCATTTAATAAAAATGCAATTTACCCAATATAATTTTCTGTCCAAATTAAAAGAAATATTCATTTACTCAGACTAAGATGGCGAAGTTGACCAGCATGTTGTAGTAACAGTTGCAGTGTATGGAAATCGATGCGTGTTCGAGACAAATCTAATCGACTTAAACATCTTGCTTTCTTCAGTTCCCCAAAACCAAGATGATCGACTTTGAAGCAGTTGGCCATGCTCAATTCTAGAAAAATAAATACCATAATTAGGTGATCAAGTTTACATTCAGTATTTCATAAAACTACTTAGTTAGATTTATTATACTATCATCTGGGGTGAGTGACCTTACTGAAGGTTCATACTGATGATATTGAATGTAATCTAATAAAACACAACCTGGCAATTTTATTTAATTTTTTTGAACTGTGATATTGGGTTAAGGTGCTTTAATTGCACTCCCAACCACACATGGCATGGATATTTACCACCTAACATGTGGGCTCAATACTTCCCAAAAGAATATATGTCTCCTGGTGTGAACTAGGTAATATAACACTTATAATGAGTTGTGAAAATAAGAAAGTAATAATATGATACATATTAAAACTAACCTTCCAGATTGAGACAGACATTAGCAATCATATAGAGGCAATAATTATCAATGAAGTGACAGTTATTGAGACGCAATATGGTGAGCTGTCTTCCACACGTGTGGATGAATTCCATAAATGTTTCAGTGTCAAGAGCATTGTAGGGACCACACCATGAAAGGTCAAGAGACTGTAGAAGCAAGCATCTGGATGAAAGACATTCTAGGGTGGCATTGCTCACCAACCACCAACAGTTCTGAAAGAGAATAAGTAGCTAGATCTAATAATGCATATCATTGTTGTTCCAAATAATCATCACAGCACTATTATTTGTCAAATAATTCACTACAAGTATAAAGAGCACCTAAAGTAATACCTTGAGATTCAGTCTAATATATAAGAAGGGATCTGAAGTGTACTTCTGAAGCAGTTTGCAGGTGTGGGCCAAGCGACATAGGCTTCTTATATCCAGTTCTTTCAAAATGTGAATAATGAGTTCCTCCTGTAGGAAAACAGATATTCTTTGTGATACACTAGAAATAAAAAATATATTCTTCTATAGGTAGCTCAATAATTGAAATGTGTCCAAACACGTCTGGTAAAACACTAATCATGGGTAGTGCAAATCCAATATATTGTACATCTGCACATGGAATAACATGCATTTTAGTCATTCTAAAACCTTAAACACAGTAACTTACAGGCAACATGTCAAAGTAACCTCCACTTGTACCCTCATCCACTAAGTCCTGTAATTTGCTCTCACTTATTTCATCATTAATTACTTCTTTTGTGCTGGACTCAGTCTCACATTCATCCATGAATTCTGCCTTCTCTTCTCTCAGAGGTTCTACATCCTTGCTCTCACTGTCCTCTGTCACCATCCTCAACAAGTTTTCTTCGGACAAAAGGAACTGCACACCGGAAAGGATTTCTTCTTCACTCCTGTTAAAGCACAAATTGTTACAATCTACCTCTAATGCTATCTCATGGATCCCTTAAATAAGTGAGTTATCAAAAAAATAAACACACAATATGCATCTTGCCCATGCAGGTATGTATGCATGTATGTATGCATGTATGTATGTACGTATATATATATGTACATACGTGTGTATATCAATTATAATATATATATAATATATATATATACATATTTTATATTTTTATATATTTTTTTCTTTTTTATTATCATTACCATTTTTAAAAATCTGAGTAACAATTCACGAACATACTGTATAAAAAACAACATTAACTTACGCTATGTTGTGTAGACCTAGTTTCATGATCTGTGATGTAATGGTTTCTTGAAAGGTCAAAT